TTACCGCATGATTTGCAGGGGTTCCAGTGGCGGATGTTATTATTTGCAGATTGTGTGGACGTCGGACTNAGTTCACACGAACCCAAAACAGGAAGGTTATGGCCAGTTATACCTTTAACCGAAATGTCAGTTGTGTTTAGATGCACACGTGGTTTCAAACGTTGAAGAACAGTCTGTGAAATAAACGAATTCACACTGCCTGTATCCATGATGAATGAATTTCCGAAAACAATGATTGACTGTGAAGGTACGTGTAATGTGTTGAGACTGGTTGGGACTGTTAACGGATAAAGCAAGAAACTGAAAATCGGTAGACAAGCATGAATCAGGAACTGAGTTCTGTGTCAAACAGTTATGTGTTCTTCGACAAACAGACTGGAGGTGCCCAGACTTACCACACTTGTGGCACTTGACATTGCGAAATTTACAAGTCAGTCGAGAGTGTCGCCGACCGCATGATTTGCAAGGGTTCCAGTGGCGGATGTTATTATTTGCAGGTTGTGTGGACGTCGGACTGATTAACAGCTTTGTTGACACTTTTGAACTGCCGCGTCTGTTGAGCTTCAAGCCCTGACCCACGATTGTGACTGAACAATACTTTCGGCTCCTCACGTACTGCTGCACGTACATCCTGATATTGTTCACATACCACCTTTGCGGTTTGAAATGTACGGTTTGGAATCAACAATAACTGCTACTGTAGCTCAGAACAGTTAATTCCAGCAACAAGTCTATCACGGAGCTGAGTTTGAAGCTGATCTTTGAAATTACAGTGTGCAGCCTGAGTCTGCAGCTGAAGAATGAAGTCTCGGACAGACTGATTGGGATCACGAGCAAGGTAATGGAATTTCGCTCGTTCAGCTGCTTCGAAGTTGACTGGCTGGAAATGCTTTAGTAACAGATCCTTGAGTTCTTCATACTTCAGTTGTATTAATGACTCTGGGAATGCCAAATTTTTCATCAGCGCATAAGCTTCCTTTCCAACAGCTGAGAGAAAATGTGCTGTCTTCTTCTCGGCGTCCAGACTTTTGCGGGTGAGACACCAAATCTCAAAACGCTCCAAATAATCTGCCACATAACGTGCGTTCGAATGAATATGAAGAATTTCCAAGTTGCAGATGTCCATAATGAGATAAAAACCGGCCGCGACGCCAAATTTGTTAATCTGTACTTGGTATCAGGAACTGAATCGCAATAATCCGCAATAATCCAACCGAACTAGTACGCAGTATGAAATAGAACTCCAGCATATTCGAGGTCAGTTTTGTATTACGCGCCGAAATTGTACAAAGCAATCGATCATGTAAAGAAACAAGAATGTTCAGTTTATACACAATCACCACACAGGGCCCGGAATATACTGGCCACGAAGTCCATTTCGAAGGTGTGAGCTTTGCGAGCTTTGTGCACAATCAGCACAGGATTTTGCGACAGGATTTATGCAATTCAAGCCAATTATAGAAATATAGAATCAATGACCAAAAACGGACATTGAAATGTTTGTCATTTATCGTCTTTATGAAGCTGTTCGCATGATCCTAAAACAAACAAAGAATGACCAGTAATTTCCTTAACTGAAATCTTTGTAGGAGAAAGTGCAACTGGGGGGTTTAACTGACAAAATACCTTGTTGGAAATGAAAGAATCAACACCACCGGTGTCCATTATGAATGTACGGCGAATGTAGTCATTATTGATGAAGTCGCGAGTAATGTGACGAGAGGGACGTGAATTGGTACTAGCTAGAGTTGAGGTTTGTAAATCACACTAACGTTTTAGAGGAATGAACAGTTGTATGTTTGGTAAGACACGACTTTGCACTTTTATAGACAGATTGGATATGGTCAAGCTCACCGCAATTGCGATACTTGGCATTACGAAATTTACACGTTAACCGCGAATGTCTTTGACCACAGAAATTGCACTTGTTCCGTCGTTGAATCCGTTGGTCACCGTGGGCTGGAGAACTTATGTTGCTTGGTGTTTTGGGGCCGTTTTCCAAAAGCCGCTTTCGTCGGGCTGGTGATTGTTTGGAATTGCTGGCATGGAACAACACACTAGATTCATCACAAACAATGGCATAGACATCTTGGTACTGTTCACATTGTGCCTTAGCCGACTGAAATGTGCAACCATGCATGAGCAAGAGCTATTGATGGAGTTCTGGGCAATTAATGCCAGCGATTAATCGATCACGTAGCTGGGTTTGCGATTGATCTCCGAAATTGCAACGCGATGCTGGAGCTTGCAGCTGAAGAATAAAGTCACGTCTAGGTTGTCCTCCACCACGTATGAACGAAAATTTGGCTTCCTCAGCGGCTTCGAAATTTAATGGCTGTAGATGTTTCAACAGCAAACTTTTCAAGGGTTCATACGACAAATATATAAGTGTCAGGAAATGCCAAATTCTCCAACAGTGAATATGCACCTTCTCCGATGATTGTCAGGAAATCAGCCGTTTTGCATTCCTTAGTAAGTCCTTTCCGCTTAATACACCACATCTCGAATCGTTAAAAGTAATCTTTGACTTTATGCGCACTGGCATGTATATTCAGGTTCTCCAAATTACGGGAATACATTGGTTCAAAAGACCGCGACGCCAGTTGCATTAGTTAGCACTCAAACCTGTAATTCGTATATGTATAGGAATCCGCGCAGTATTACTCCAACCCAGAACTGGGACTCGAAATGAAATCAAAAGACAACTGAGAGACGGAATGGAACTGTAATGAGCGGAAATTCGGAATGTACAAGGAGATTGTGTTCAATAAAACAAAAGAATTCATGTGTCATAAAAAATCACCACAGACATTTTCGATGATTTCTGAGGCTTCAATCACCAAGGCGATCTCTTTTTTCGGCATGTGTTTGCTTTCACTTTCCGCACGCTTGCTAACGCTTACGCATCTCCGTTTGGCTCCGCAGGTCATAACAATACAACCGCCCTCCGTTTCGTGAACTGTCTCGTTCTGTTTTCATACGAATGTTCGTATAGACGCATAGATCTATAGATGTATTAGTTCGATGTATCGATAAACCAGTGCCTACAAATTGGTGAGCCCTCTTAACTTATTTTATGTACTTTGGACATTTTTTTCGGAGAAATTTTAATCTCTCTAAGTCAGATTTCTAGCAAATTGTCCGCGGATCCATTGTTACGGATCCACTCTCGTTCATATAATTTTAGATTACGTTTATCTGTAGTTTGTGTTTTAACACTCATTTACTATTGGATGTTTCCATTTTCGCTTTTCCAACATATTTTTTATTCTATAAGCTATTTGGTCAGATTTTTATGATTGGTTTGACAACCTCATATTATATATTTACGATTTAGTATGACTAGCTCTGATCATAAGTAGCCCACAAACAGCAAAGTACTCTGGGCCTACATCAGGGCACCAGAGTTCATCCCGGAGGACCCGGAGGCGTTCCGTGCACTTCTGGAATCGCGATTACATGAAGCTGGCATCACTGGACAACTGTCACGTTACCATAAGCTGTTGTCAGCGATACCACGGGATATGCTGAGCAACTTCAGGGATATATATACGAATATCCCCGCACACAATCCATACGAGGTGCTCAGGGAAGCAGTCCTCCATTGTATAACCATTTCTGAGGAGAAACGCATCCAGCTTCTACTATCTGGGATACAACTGAGAAACCTCAATCAGTCCTAGTTACGGCGACAGATGCGTGCGTTAGTAGACAACACAACGTTAAACGACTCTGTACTACGCCAGACCTGGCTCCAACGGCTCCCGTCTTACGTACATAGTATACTTAACGCCTTCGCCCATGCCCAAAGTTTCAACGAACTAGCCGAAGCTGCAGACCGAGCCATGGAACAAGCTGAACTTTTTCAGCCCATAACGGCGAACGTTGGGAGCACTGAACCAACCATGATTCACCATGAACCTCCGAATTCAGCTCCCGTGAAGCTCTCCAATGAGCCAGTGACAGAATTTCAGCTTTTGTTTAAGCAGTTGGATGACCTTTGCTTAGCTATGACCACTATACAAACCACAATCAACAATCTGCAGACTACCCGCACGACCCGTAACCGATCTCGATCAAGTAACGGTCGTCGACGATCGTCATCTATGGGTGGTCTGTGCTATTACCACATGCTTCGGTAATCAACCAAGAAAGTGAGAACCGCCGTGTTCCTTCAAAAACGATCAGGGAACATAACAGGCCGGCCGATCACGGCTACTGCCTCAACCGGCTCCCCCATCCCTTGTCGCCTACATTTTATCTACGATAACTCGTGCAAGCTTAGGTTTAGGGCAGATTCCGGAGCGCAAGCAGCAGCGCTGACTTTGCAGACAGCCAACAGTACCCCTAACCAAAACAATGGACAACGGCCAGTGAACTTAGACTTAGGTTCAAGACGCGTCATACCTTAGCTTTTCGTGGTCACTCGGTTTCCTTACGCCATACTTGGCCTAGACTTTTTACATCACCACTGTCTAATCATATGTAGTGGCTTGAAACCAACAGTGTAACATACTCGAGAGTGTCACCATCTTTGGTCTGCCCGTTCCGCATGTATGCTTTCACATGATTGCAGGCATTGGTCGCTTGGAGCATTCGCTCGTGCATCCTTCTCCTTTGTAGCATAGAATCCGCCAGGATCTTTGATATCCTAAGACCACTCCTTCAGCTAAGTCATTTATCTTTGTTTAGGTCTCTACCACCTCCGGTGAAGTACTCCTCACTTTAAACGGTGCGTGAGTTCAGAGCTACACCTTTCGCTTGCTAAGCATTTCCGCTTTCAGATACTCACGAGCACAATCAGGCTAAACTCCGGTGCTGTCAGGGAACAATATATTTTCCCTCGACTAACCAGTGGTTCTTCCTGATTCATACTGGGCGATCGAGAATCACGGGATATTTAGAGATCGGATCGTTATTGCGCATCATGATACCGCAAGTCCCCCTTCTCTAAACGTAGATCCCCATAAACGACANGAGACCCAGTCACTTCTAAAGTAGTCGTCGGTTCCCTGGTATATTCTGAAACGCAAAATATACACCTCCCTTTTCCACACGATGATTCGCCATATTTATCGTTATACCGCGAGTTCCCTAGCCTCGTCCGCCCAGCACCGAGCTGCCACCTATCACGCCGGAGGTGTCGCACCATATTGTCATCCAAGGTCCACGGGTACACGCAAGTCCTCGTAGACCAGCCCCAGATAAGTTGCGCACCGCACGCGCAGAGTTTCAGTGCATGCTGAACGTGGGAACCGTACGCCCCTCCGAAAGTCCATGGTGTCCCCTCTACCCATGGTCCTCAAGAAGTCGTGCAAAGACTTGCGTTCATGTGGAGACTATCGCACATTCAACCGCGTGGTAACCCCGGATAGGTACCCGATCCCCCACATCACGGATTTCACGTCAAACCTGGCTGGTAGAACTCTTTCCAGCCGCATCGATTTGGTTNCGCGTAGAACCCGATACCGGTAGCAGAGGTCGACGTCCCCAAAACAGCCGTAGTCACACCGTTTGGCCTCTCTGACTTCCTCCGAATACCATTCGGTCTCAGCAACGCGGCACAGTCCTTCCAACGTTTCATCGACAACGTTTTGAGAGGTTTAGGCTCTGTTTTAACGATATTATAATGGTTGTCTCATCGCGTGAGGAACATCTGGTACACCTCCGAGCGCTTAATGATCGTTTGACGCAGCACGGTGTCCCGGTCAACGCAAAAAATTGTGTGTTTTCCGTGTCCCCAGCATTGATTTCCTCGGTCACCGCATCACAACTACTGGTATCGAGCCAATAAGTGACAACATTCGAGCAGTAATAGATTACCCGGAGCCCAACAGCTCCGACGTTTCGACGATTTAGTCAACTTTTATCGTCTTCGTTTCATCCCACAGTGTGCACAACTTGTGCAGTCACTCACTGTTATACTTGAGGGTTGGGTAAAAGCGTTAGTGTTCACAGAAGCCCCTCGAGACGCCTTCAGTGCGTTGAAATGAGGAATCAGGAACGTCGCAATATTAACCCACCTAGTCCCCCTCTGCCAAACTGGTATCGATGCGTCCGACCACGCAATTGGCGTCATCCTCCAACAACAAGTGAGACAGAAATGGCAACCCATAGCTTTTTCTC